GAAACTTGAAGACATTCTGCTAAGTGAAATAAGCCAGTTACAGAAGGATGACTACTGTACAATTATATAAGATAGTCACATTCATAGGGACAGAAAGTGGAATAGTGGTGGCCAGGGGCTGGGGAGAGGGGGATGGAGAGTTGTACTATATTGGAAAGTAACAACTTTCAGTTTTGCAAGAGTGTAAAGAATCTGTGGATGGATGGTGGTTAATAGCTGCACAACAATGTGGATGTACTAAATACAATAGACTGTACACTTAAAAATGGTTAAGATAGTACATTTTATGTGTACTTTACCACGATTTTTAAGAAGTCATGTCCACTATAGAATTTTGGAAAATATATAATGCTGGCCAAGTTGTTTCCAAAAACTTTCTCCACTTACCCTTTAGGATCTTTCTTCTGAACATCTTCCATCCAAGTACCCCTGAAATCATGCAGATTCCTCAATTTTCTACCCTGATTTGTTGGTCGTCCCCATATTAGGTAGCTATAGAAACTTCTCAATTCCTCACTATGGTCAGATATGTGTCCAGAGCCCTCCCCAGGACCAGGGAGCCTATAAGTCAGATGTGCCAAGAGCTACTGAGATATGTTTTAAAAAGGGGGCACCTGGAAAATCTGTTTTACCCAATTGTAAATGAACTCAGTAGATTTTACTTGCTAGTTATCTCTTAGGCTTCCATACAGGTAGATAACTGCATGTGATTGTGATTGCTAAACCAATCTTCAACTCAGGGCCCTTTTACTATTTATCTGCAAAAGTGATATTTCTTCTGCATAAGGATCATTTGTCAAATAGACAACACAGTATGTTATTTGGATAGTATCTATGTCCACGGGGCAAGAAAAGAGTTACAGTTAACTCCATTGCTTACAATCTCACATGCTCCTGGTTTCACTTCTCCTTCAGTGGTTCTCAACCTTCTGGCCCTTTAAATACAGTTCCTCATGTTGTGACCCAACCATAAAATTATCTTTGTTGCTACTTCATAACTGTAATGTTGCTACTGTTATGAATCATAATGTAAATATCTGATATGCAGGATGGTCTTAGGCGACCCCTGTGAAAGGGTCTTTCGACCGCCAAAGGGGTCGCGACCCACAGGTTGAGAACTGCTGCCTTAGATCATCTCTACAAGTTCCAAGCAACTCCATCGCAATAAGTGGACGGCCATGTACAGTGCAAGGAGCATAACTTTGCATTCTAGAGAGTCACCTAATAGACCTAAGTTCCAACTCTTCTTGGGAGGTCACTTAAACTGTACAATAGAACAAATAATACCAACTCTCAGGGATGTGATAATTAAAGGAGGTAACATATGTCAGCTCTTGGCTCATTATGTGTGTCTTCAGATGTTAGTTTCCTTCCTCTTCCTCTTTCCGGCATGCTCACTCTAGAGCTGGCTCCAAAGCTACTGATTAATCAAAACCTGACCACTTCCTACACTTTCCCATTCCCCACCTTGCTTCAAAGGTACTATCTGTTTCTGCCTAGTAGATACTGCTTCAGTCAGATGAGTAAATGACAACAATAATGAAGGCTTCATAGATATGGAAGGAGGTACAGGAATAGCTCCTTTCTTTTCTTTAAAACCAATTCCTGAACTGAGCATGGTAATAATATATACAGTGGGGCCTTGACTTACGAGTGTCCTGACTAACGAGTGTTTTGAGATACCAGCTGTCTCTCAGCCGATTTTTTGCATTGAGTTGATAGAGTAATTTGAGTTAACGAGCTCCTTAACGAGCTTGGTCTCGGAACGAATTAAACTCGTAAGTCAAGGCCCCGCTGTATTGTCAAAAGTGGTACCTGTTTACGGTATTAGGTTTTATTTAGGAAAGCAGTGGGTCCTCAACGTTTAGAAAATGTACTTGCCATTTGTAAAACTCTAAAGGAAAGTTTAAAAATGATGTTATACCAATTTTAATTTTCAGAGCCCTCCATAGGGTCTCTCCTACCCCACATCCCCCCACTGTTCCCATAACTAATGTAATTTAATTTATGAGCCAAATATGTCTCATAGGTGTGTGTTTAGCATTAATTTTAATTTCTATTCATGTACAACTTGTTACTGCCCACTCTCCTGAAAGGTTATTCCACCAAAACATATATTTTAATGAAGGTCATATTTTTTGGAAGACATTAATCTGTCTAAGAATAAATGCATAATTCACCTGTCATTCTGTTGTAAAACTCTTTCTCTAATTGCTTTTTTTTGGGCAAATAAATTTGAAATGTCATATCTGTTTCCAAGAAGACATAAGCTGGCGATGTCTGGTACACAAGTCACCAACATGATGTTCTTAGAAGCATTTGAATTTCTTCAGGGATGTAAATCCAGCTACATTATTTTTACTGGAAATTGGGGTGAGCGGGAGATGGGAAAGCAAGATGTTAAATCAACTGGTAACCCCAAATAATTTCCTGTGGTGTTCATTGTATATACACACTCTACATTACTGCCACCATTCCTTGCTTTCACCCATACTGTCATAAGGCTGCACAAATGGTCAATGCTTTTTAGATGACTGATATTTTTTGAGACATTTATTTCAAACTTTTATTGACTCTTCTTAGAAGAATTCAGTTATGACATGGCAAGGTGTTTAACAAAGAATGAGGGAGTCGTACAAATTCATCTTCCCACTGGACAATTCTGAGGTCGTCCACCACCTGCAAATGAACACTTTCAAACACTGGACTCAATACCTCCTCCCAATAACAAACACCACCAACAGCAATAAAAATAACAACTAGAATCAGGTTTTTCTTATTTAGCTGATCTCTGTGAACTGCACTTCATGTACCAAATTTTCCAAACCAGAAACCTAGAGGTCAGGCTGGCTTTGCCTGAGGACATGAGACGCAGCAGCATATATTACATCGTAATTATTAGCATCTTCATCTCTTTGTACACTTCTCTCCAGGCTTATGGCCATCCCATCAGGAATCAATCACTAACTCTCTGGGATCGTGCGCCAACCTCTTAGATTCCTCAATCTCTACCAGAGTAACTATTATCAAGTGCCCTTTAGCCACAGAGAGTGTCCCCCCAAGCCCCGATTAAAATATTTCATGGGAAGGGAAAATAATCATCTGGCTTGTATAGAGGCATCTGCTATATCAGAGGTCCCCTATCATATTATGTTTGGATATTTTTCAAATGGTGTGCTGACAGTTCTGGAAGTTTCTCTGGATGAGGGAGAGGCATTGAAAGTCAGAAGTTGGAACATTTTCCCCTTTGATGCTCCAAGGGAGCATCTTTGTGCACCACAATACATCCCTGGAATTGACTTTGGCCCAGGCACAGTTGAGACTGCTTTGAGTAGTGATCTGTGAATGAGAATATATGCACTTTTATACCATTACATCCTGTAACTGAGTTTTAAAAACTACAAATCATGCACAGATGGGTTAGCTTTGGCTAGCTGAGGGAAATCATACACCTCTCTTCCTTCTTTTCTTGTTTTGTTTCTAGGACTCAGAATCGTGAACCACAGTTGGCAAGCAAATCTGATTTTTGTGATATTTTGTGGCTTTAAGTAATTTAAAGCAACTACTGATGTTGCATACTACTTTTTCCATTTATCCTTATTGTTGAAAGTATGACAGATTTCCCTTCTTCCCGCCCCCCGCATTGACCCCCTCCAACAAACTCCCGCCCCTCTCTCCCCCAGGCCTTCACAGCACTATTATCTGGGTTCATGGATTATGCATATATGCATATAAATTCTTTGGTTAATCTCTTCCCAACCCCTCTTCCCTTTCCCTCTGAGATTCCTCAGTCTGTTCCATGCTTTTTTTTTTTACATAAAAAATAAAAGAGGGGCAGAGGCAGCAATCATTCATTAATTGTAAACTTATTTTTTTCCCAGCAGATCATTCTTAGTTCATGTATAACTTTTTTCCAAATACATATTTGCTTATAGTCATCCTTGCTCTTTATTTTTGTAAATTATTAGACCAGCAAATACTCCAGCCAACTTGTAAGCATTTACATTAGTCCCATCCAAACTTACCTGTGTGTTCTCCCCTTCTATTCATTTTTTAAATCTAGCTCTACCATTGTAAATCTCCTTAATTCCAGACCATGCCTATATATGTGTTCTATGGTTTATGCACTCATAAAACAAATATTTTCTGAGTACATACCATATGCCAGGCACTTTTCTAGAAATTGGTTATACAGAAGTGAACAAAACAAAACAGATATTCCTGCCTTCACAGAGCATACATCCTAGTGGGTAAGTCATCCAATATAAAAGTTAAGTTAAAATATGTGTCATGTTGGATACTTATAAATCTAAGGATTAAGTATTATTTAACAGTAAAGCAGGGAAATGGTAGAAGTATTAGGGTACAATTTTAGAGAGAAGGACCTATTCAATTCAGAGACTAACATTTTAAAAGTTGTGAAGGAGGTCGGTCTGAAATTTGCCGTTGGTTTACATATGCAACAGATTTGCGAATACTACACACAGGATAATAAAGAAGCTGTCGAATTTCTTTCAGAAAAATGTTCCTTATCACTCTTGGAAGCTACTTATAAACTATGTCCATATTCATCTCAATGGAACTTGCTTTAAATATTTTAAAAGGTATTACTTTATCACGAAAAAACTATGACTACATTATGCATTATACCTGAATGTAGTACCTCTGTGCAAAAAACTATTCAACTCACATCTTTTTAGTACACCAGCCCACATTTAGTTACATTTACTGTATTATATCCTAGCTTGTCTTAACTGCAAATTTATACAATTTAGGCACACACAAAAAAGGGAAAGTAAAAATACATCAAGAAACCTAAATACAAATTTCACATTATTTAGAATCGTGCTAAATACACACAACAAAAACTCTACAACATGGGAGGGTGAAGAAAATGAAAACATTTCCAAAGGTATTTATTGAGAAATAGTAAAGATGTACATATTTTTACAAGCTTTTAATATTAATTTACATTTCTTTAAATTATGTAGGCCCCCATAATCAATACATTACTAATACATAACAGAAACCCTTGCCTTTGACTGTGAGATCTCCATAATGCTACCATAGTAGGGAGTCAAAATGCAACTTTGGCTCATGATGCTTAAGTGTGTTTTTAAAAGAAATACTAAATGCCATATTCACTGAGAATATAGGCTTGTCAAAAACAAATGAGCTTTAAAATAATTCATACTGGAGCATGCTGTTGACACTATTTTGCATCTTAGCTCATCAAAAAATGAAGAAAATAAATTTAGAGAGTTATTATCTACTGTGCACAAACTGCATGATTCTATTTTTTTTTTGCCTCTGATTTTGATTTACAAACCTTTGAGGGGTATAGTGACTTAATCTTGTATGCTGTAATATTATACCCAGGCCATCTATCTTGATATTTCAGGTGTAACACAAGATGGTTACCTTTCCTAGTCATATGCCACATTTGTACATAAAGTAGCCCAAATTTTTTTTTGTGGCAGAATATTTTTCAAACTGGCTTACAAAAAGGCACAATATTCTATAGGTAAATAGAGTGTGGATATTGCCAAAGGGGCTGTTTTTTGTTGGTTGATTAATTTTTTTTTTTCCGGATCAGAAAGGATGAGGATCTTCTGTTACTAAAGCGGGAAGGGAAGGGTTCTAGTCTGAGCATGCTCAAAGTCGCATGACAAGTTGTGACGTCGGCTCACTGGCCTGCTCCATGGTGCCAGAGGCTCTTCTCTTTAACCCAGCATTTAGGTTTTATGCTGGCAACCTCTCTGAACACATAATCAGAGAAGATTTGTGTGGGAAATAGCACTGGGTGGTGCAAGCAGCGACCTCTCTCTTTGCCCTCTTTGCACCTGCAGGTTTAGCAGCATAAGAAGCCTTGCTTGTTTGATATGAGAAAGAATTAAAAATTTAGATGTAATGCCACCATTCTGTCATTTAAAGAAACTGGCTATACCATTAAGATACTTTCGTTTTATTCACAGTAATAAATATTTACGGTTTTAGTGCACAAAATATAATTATTGATAATCAATGCAGCTCTTTAATTTGTTAAACTGTTATTTTCAAGCTACAGGCTAACAAAAATTAAGAATTATTATTATTATTATCATTATTAAAAGCATTCCAACCTTAATTTGTCTGCAACTGTACTTAGGGCAGAGGTAGCCAAAAGCTACACAATTTAAAGAGTAAGTATATGTTCTGAGTGATGAAATCACAAGTTTATATAAAATTGGAACTCAATTTCTTTCTGCCCAACATAAACATGGCCTTTGCATTCAGTAAAGAAATACAGGTTCGTAGCCTGGAAAAGAAAATCACATTTGCACAGTGAATGTCGTGATCAGCGTGCAGAGCACTGACCTTATGGGAGCCACTGGAGCCTCCGATGGTGAACTATCCCAATCAGCGTCTGGCTAGGGCGCTGCCTGGTAGCTGACCCCAGCTCCACAGTATGACACTTAAACACAGAACTGCAGGTGCAGACGTCATGAAAACACACCTAGATCTTGAAGTCTTAAATTTCCACAAGGGAAATCATGTCACACAAAATGACAAGAGAACCTGTACCGTGTTCCTAAGATGGGCTACACACCAAGAAAAAAAAACACAAAACATGCAAACACAACAATGACAGGTTCTCTGTGCAATGAATGCAGTCCATTTTGCAGTAACAGTGCAGGCAGAAACTAAGGTATGTAGGTCTGTAATGGAGAAAAACTTGATTGATGTGTAAAGACAGAGAACCAGGTGCTACTTCACTGTTGTAATTTTAGTAATGCTGCCAAGATCCGGCTCACTTGCTAATTTATTTTATGACGATATTCTAGGTAAAATTTTCATTGATTCACTTTTTCCCTTAGAAACCATCTGGGGCATCCACCTCCCACTACTGGTGACATTTCATTTTTGCAATGGCATTGGGAATAAATACACTTAGCTTTATTTTAAGCCTTGTTTGCTCAATGTGAATTTTAAGCCATGTTCGTGGCATATTCTAAGAAAGTTTATGTGATACTTGCTTATAATTTTTACGAGAATATTTTCCTCTACACAACTTACACTTATAAAAAAGTCACAATCAAAACAGTGCAAGTCATCATGAATATGGCTCTTAATTTTCCCCAATAAAACTGTAGAAAGGGTACTCAGGACTTCAACGTACACTTCACTTCCTAAGTAAAGGTCCCACAGTCTTTCCCATACCTTCTGCTTATGGTTGGATGCACAAATAGTTGCCTCATACAATTACTGGAATTACTAAGAACCCAAATAAAACACAAGCTTTGTTTTATTAGTATTGTTTTCTTATTGCAACAGATATTCAGTTTCTTGCTGATGCATTATTAAGCTTTGATAGCTTGAATTTTAAATTTGGTCATGTTAAGAATGATCACAAAGGTTTGTTTTGTCAGTATCTACAGAGATTTTTTAACCAAAGTTACATTGTAACACACAAATGCTGTCTTATCTTTAAGGCACAACACATCAGTATGAACATTCTGTTTGCCAAACTTAAAAAAAGAGACAATATTAGGTTCCCATTTCCCCTCCCGCTTCCCTCCCGAACAAATGAAAGAAAAATTGCATCCACTTTCAAAGTCAGCTGCTAATAAAGTCACAGTAAATTATCTTCATCAATAATTTACACAAATTACAGGTCTAGATAGGATTGTCCTTATACAGTCTGAGTGCATTCCAATTCAGATTTTCTGGGCTAGGTAGGCTAAAGTCAGATTCAAACCTCAGGGCTGAGAAGTTCTCCAGTTGTGAGGAATGTTGTTGAACACCACCTTGTCAGACGGAGCACGTGTCGGTGCTTTGCCAGGGTAAGAGTTCTTTGCTAAAACTGTTAATTCCAGTTAGGACTCATTCGGTGTGTACCAGCAACCTCCACAGATTTGTTTTGTTTTGTTGTGTTAAACCATTAAAGTGTTGTAAATATAAGACCATAGAGCTTCCTTTCTGTAGCACTAAAGTTTAATCCCGTTCAGCAATCTGAATTCTTCATTCTGGAATTTTCATTCCAAATATGATTTCATCCTTTAAGACAATTTATATGTGTAAAGCCAGAGGCATTGAATCACACATAAAATTCAGTGTACTTGAAATATATATAAAAAATGGATCTCCAGCTAGAGAACACAGTTACAAATACTCTAATTCCAGTGCTTGATGTAGAGCCAAGAGGTCTGAGTGACTTGATATCCTCCAAAAGGGCATGTTGTGCTGTGTGGTTAAGAGAGGGGGGATGGGAAAGAGAAGGGGAAGGGATGGAGAGAGATCATGACTATGGTCTCAATGAAGCAGCCGTACACACAAGGATGTGTAGTCCACCCAGGTTCAAGGAAGGGAGTCTAGGAGAGGGATGATCATATTCTAAGGCTTGGTAGCATCAATATGGCATTGTCAAAATAATAGAGAAATAGATCTGAACTGGATATTGATGATAGGAAAAGTACATATAGAGGTTTCTTAGGTAGTTTACTATTTATTGTAGAAAGTATCATTATCAACAGCAGCATCTGGGAAAGCAATTTGGGCATCAAAATCCTATGAGGCTGATGGAAAGCAAGTTTTAATCACTACCTCACTCCTAAAGTTCCATCTCTCAGTTAAAAACAAAATTTAAACATGATAAACTTCCTAAGCCTCAGGTCTTTTGTCTTTCTGAGAGGAAAAGAGTGAGTCCCTTTCTATGTAAAAAATAATTCGAAGTTGATCTATATAAGGTTGAAAATAATGTGGAGTTGATCAACTCTCTTACTTTTCTGGAGTAACTGGTTTAAGTCAGTAGAGTTGACCAATTTATTTCACTGGTGTGGGATTGAGAGAAAGCACTCTTGCAATCATTCTCACGGGGGGAGAAACAGGCAAAGGGACAAAAAAGGGTTCTTCTGGGGCAAACATTCTTAGGCATTACAATGGTTGGTGGCCCTACAAAAATATACCAGTATCTGGTATCTGTGTGGCTTAAAATTTCATAGTGGGATGTGTTCAAAAAAACATAAATGAAACAACTCCATTGTGGATATTGAAAAAAAGGAACACTGTACTAGAACAATTAAAATCAAAGCATTACTTGTAATTTTTGGATGATGGCATCTTATAGAACATATATTTATATAACATATTTTGTATAATGAAAATATGGTTGTATAAAAAGTGAAGAATACATTTTATTATAAAATCAATCATTAAAATAATAATCACTATTGTTACATAATTCTTTGCTGTCTAAAAGGATAGTCAGTAGTCCCATGTGGTTATTGAGCACGTGAAATGTGGCTTGTTCAGTTCAAAATATATATTGAATGTAAAAAAAGAGAATGTAAACATCTTATTAATAATTTTCATATTTGTTAGGAGTTGAGACATAATGTTTTAGGTACATTGGATTAAAATATATTACTAAAATTAATTTGGTCTGTTTTTACTTTTTTTAAAAAACACAGCTTCTAGAAAATTTAAAATTACAAATATGGTTTGTATTATATATTTCTATGGGGGAATGCAACTACATTACTATTCCTAAACTTTGAATTTTCTTTTTCATTTTACAAAAAAAACACCCTATATTTTTAGATCAAATTAAACACAGAAATTCACTAGAATTACATTTTTTTCATTCAGCTCAGATCTATTTGTAATAATAAAACAGTACTTAATATTTCTGCACATGCGATTACAGCTACATTCAAAGAAAAGCATGCATTATGGTCACTAGAGGAACCAACCACCTGTGTTTCAAAATAGAATTATAAGCCTTCACCATCACCAACACTGTACCTACATAAACAACCATTTGGAAATAGCATTCTGACTGAGGTTCTCATCCTCCTGGAATCATCCTTTTTCTCTTGAAGTTTTAGGTGTAAAACAGAGGTTACAAGAAACGGGTACACCAAATCTATCATAAACAACTAGGGTATAAGTTTTCATTTTCAAAGGCATATACTGTTTCTGGTTTGGAAAAGTGAATTTTATTGCCCTGACCCAAATATAAGTGAATGTCACATAGGCTAAAAGACATGTAAAATGTTCACTTGTAGTGGCTTGCACTGACTGCTATTTGTTGTGAGTTATTATGGTATCAACATGAAGATCAAAACAACATGGACTCAGGACATTGACAAACTCCAGAAGATATTTCTATTGTGTGCCACTGGAAGGATTTCAAATAGTAGTCAGCAATGAAAGTTGCATTTCTGGAGACTGCATCCCTGACGCATCATACAGAATGTCCAAAGGGCCAGTTGCTGTCTAGGGTCACTGACTGCTAATTAAGACCCAGGCCCTCTGTGGGAGGCTGAGCCTGCACAGGCTCTCTGAGTGTTAATGGCTGCCAAACACGTCAGCACACCTTTTAAAGTGGGAACTCGTTCTCTTTCTCCATTTTGCTTGATTTGAATTGACTACACACACAAATCATTTCCTTTCTCTTTTTATGAAAGCTCTAAACTTTTCTAGGAAATTGTTTATGTTGATTTGGGGGGGATCAGGTAAACACTTCAGCACATGCGAGTGTTTAGTGAAGGCTTTATTAGATGATGATTTGAAATCTCCTCAGGATAAAAAGGACAGCATTCTTTCTATTGAAACAATATAAGCTGATGTGTCATTGTTTCCAAATATTAATTCATCATTTTGCTTTGTTTATAAATGATATCACTGTTGTCCTGGCTAGATGATAGCTTTGCTATCATTCAGAAAAGGAAGCAGTATGTCTCCGTTGTGTTGACTGACAGTCTGGTGTCTGGGCCAATCCTGATATCATTCCTCTTTTGATCTTGGACCAACCATTTAATGGTTTTTAACTGCCGTGATATCTTCTTCAGAAATATGGGCCAGATGAAAAGGCTTATTTAAATACCTAGGGCCTAGGAGAACTTCTGAATATGTTCAAAGCCAGCTGCTTGGCTCCAATCACGTACCAGTGGCTCACCAAAATAGACAACACGCTTCTAGAAGATGTGAGGCATGTGGCCTCTAAGTCTCTACAAGTTGGCACAAAAGGATCTGAATAGTACATCCCTTTCCAGTAGTGTTTATTAAATTTTCTCATAACAGTTTCTCCTTCGGCTATTAAATCTACCCTCAGCATTTGTCATCAGGGAGCATACTTGCTACCAGGCACTCACAGGGAACAAAAAGCATAGAGGATGGATGGGGAAAAGGGTAAGAACTGAATCCCATGATTTTGTATGAAGCTCATTAAACTTCTTTATATTGTGAAAATCATGTGCTTAAAAATGGTTATTTCCCCCATCTTTCTTATAGACCATTCTCTCATTCTCTCTCTCTCTCTCTCTCTCTCTCTCTCTCTCTCTCTCTCTCACACACACACACACACACACACACACACACACATACACACAAATAAATATAACTAAATTTTCCTGCATTTCCTGTAAAATTTCAGGCAAAAAATGCTAGACTCCAAATGGTTTATTTGAATGTAAGTATTGACCTTCTCATGCTCTTACTGCTTTGCATCTATAAATTTAAATCACTTATCAAGCTGCCGTTGGGCCAAACTACAGGAATGCAAACGAAAAAGCTTGCATTAGAAGTATCACACCAACATTGTTTGAGACAGGTTACCTTTTTTGCTGCCTGTTCTTCTTCTACACCATCCCCAATTACAACATATACTACTTTTCTGCCAAACCTTTGCATTATTCGTTCAAAGCAACTTTCTTTTCCTGGAAGATAAATGAGATAAAGTTCAGAGTGAAGTTACCTGGTTAGCGGCATGCTCCTCATCTCGGCCATCTCCAATCACAACATAAGTTATGTTAGTGCCAAATCTGGACACTATACGCTCAAAACAGCTTTCCTTGCCTGAAAAACAATGCACTGCTTATTCTTCCAGCCATTGCATTCATTAACCTAAAGATTCATATAAAGTGGCAAGTTAATTTCTCTTGAACATCAATCACTTAAAACTAGCTTGCAGCCTCTGGGTTAATGAAATCAACAAATACGTTTGAATAATTTAAGTCTTTACTTGGGGACAGACTATCAAACAAATACGTTCCATGCTTCAAAAAAAGCTGTAGGGTCAAGCATTTGACCCAGAGAAAATGTTAGTATCATTCACTTATATCGAACATCCTTGCAAACAACTGTAAGTTTTAACATTTATCTTTTCATTAGATGTAGAATTTTTTGCCAGTTAATTTTAAATAGTATAGACAGGTCAGCTGAAAATATTATTGTGAATTATTGAAGGTTCACCTATTAGGAAAGAGGGAATACTAAGACGTGGATTTACCTTAACATATAACTTTTTCTTCAAGTGGCTGGGAGCTAGTCTGCTCAGATTAAGTGTACTAAGAGTGCTGTGTGGCCCACAGCACTGGTGACACTATATCCACTGACTGCACTATGGGGACAACTCGCAGGATCTCTACACATTCTTCAGTTTTATAACATTAGCATTATTCTCTGATTTTCATTCCCAGAATGTTCATGTAGTCATAGTTACTTCTGTACTTGTTCTTAATCTGATAGTTCCAAAAAAATACTATCTTAAAGGAAAATATAAAAATATTTTTTTTTCAGATTAAAAATTAGAAATAATTTGGCCAATAAATAAATATTATCCTTACTAGAAGAAATGTTTTCCTGGTATAAAATTATTTGATATTTCATAACGCAAAATTCTATATATTAATCCTGCTAGCATAAATACATACATTTATACAAAAATGAATGGGGTTGAAATCAGGGCTCTGAACTGCAGTGCTTAAGACAACGTAGAATTTACTTTTTCAAAGCCTGGGGCTCTCTTTAACTGCACTCCCCAAACAGCTGCAACTAGGGCTCCTTTTGCCTGTGTCAATATCAAAACTCTGCAAGGCCCAGGGCGGGTTATTTTTGGGAAGGGATTTTAGGATTTTGAACTTCTCTTGTCGAGGTGCCAGAGCCTAAGTTTGTTGACCTTCAGGGCACATTACCCAACCCATCTATTTCCCCAGGCATTTCCTTGACAGACAGAGAATACATGACCTGTTTTATTTAACTCTTTCAGGATGGCAGAAGTTGATAAAGTTTTGTTTTTGAAAATTAACTAGAAGTCTTAGTCTGTGAAAGGCACTTCGAGTAAAAGATGACTCCACAAATTGATATTAACAAATAAGCAAGGTTGTCATCCTTTGATTGCTACTGAACAGTTTTGGAAATGTGGATTTCTTGCCATTCATGTGTTATGAATGTTCCAATTATGTTTTCTAATTCATGAAATTATTTTTTTTCTGGAATTAAGGACACTAGTTCAAGCCATCTGACACTCCCCTGCCAAAATAGTATTTTTATGTTAGATTTAGATTACATATGCAAGGATAAAATACTATGTACCATGCTAAATAAAATATTAAATGCATGACTAGAGATACTGTGCATTAGTCGGAAAACATGTGTCATGATGAAATATATATGTATATAATAAAATGAGTCAGTACTACCCAGTTGCTGGGTTCAGATAACAGGTTTTATAAAATGTGCATTTGTAAGATGGAGGGGACTTTGTTATTTGAGTGCTATCCAAATGTGCTTGGTATTCTAACAGCAAAATTGATGACATGGAGAATCATGCAGAGATTCGAATTAAGAAAATCCTCCCAAACACAGAAGAGAACACATTTCATACCGATTTAGAAATAATTTTCTTACCTATTTTAGTTGCACTGTAAATATTCTCAATGGGGAAAGCACCTCCTAAACTATAGAGTAGAACCTTCGCAAGCGCTGGGATCAGTTGGGTTGTCGTTACCAAGACATTTACGCAGTTACTCCTAAGACAGGGAGGAAATACACATATTTGTTTTCTAATACTAAATAGTCTCTATGAGTACAGATTTTAAACTATCACTGTCATCTCAGTTCCACAGTAAAAAGCACCTGATAATCTAACCATTTATTCAACAGTTATTTATGGAGTGCCTACTACCTGGCAGGCACCATGGCAGGTGGTAGAAATATATCCCCAAATGGGGAAATAGAAGAAAATGGGCAAAAAGAAGTCATAAATGTATGGAGTGTTTTTCTCCCCTTCTGGATCACAAGATAGATGCTGGGGTCCAACCCCAGTGGGTCCAGGGGTCCCCAAAGGTGTGGACGGAGTCGGCGAAGAAGGAATGACAGCTTTCAGTTGATCAGCAGCCTAGCCAGGATCTCCAGCCAAGTCCTGTCTCTAGGTTCTCCTGCCATGTTCTGTCTAGGTTCTCCAGCCAAGATCTGTCGCCAGGTTCTGTCCAGGTTCTTTTGCCATGTTGTCTCGCTAGGTTCTGTCTCTAGGTTCTGTGTAGGATCTCCAGCCAAGTCCTGCCTCTAGGTTCTGTTGCCAAGTTCTGTAGTCAGGTTCTGTAGCCAGGTTCTGTCCAGGATCTTTTGCCATGTTCTCTCCCTAGGTTCTCTCTCTAGGTTGTGTATAGGATCTCCAGCCATGTCCTGTCTCTAGGTTCTGTGTAGGATCTCCAGCCAAGTCCAGTCTCTAGGTTCTCTCTCTAGGTTCTCTGTCCTGTTGTCTTGTTACATCTGTATTTATACCAGTTGATTTTAATCCTATCAATTTCTATTCCAAAGGTTAGGGCGTTTCTTATCTCCATTCCAGGGAGTAAAGATTATGTAGCTTAAGCCTGATTGTTCGTAGTTAAAGTGATTAACTACCCGCCTGGCACTTAGTTAAGGGGTTTTATTCCCTCCCTAACTTCAGGGGAAAATCCCTACCTGGGGAAACAACCTTTCTCAGAGAGGTGACCTTGGTTAAAACACATAGCGCTAAGGGGAGCAAACATATTAAGAACAGTATGCTATATATGTCAGGTCCCTTGAAACATATGCTGTGCAGATGTTTCTTCCCTGCAGCGACTGTGTCAAGCAGCAAGGATGGACCAGCTCCTGGCAGATAGATACAGAGACAAGTAAATAAGACACCTGCCAATATTAAATGTGTTCTGTAATAACTGTCTCATCAGGTCCCTGTGGAACCTCAGAGAATACCTACCTCAGCCTTTAGCAGCCATGGCAAGGTTAGGAGAGGGAGGATGGCCTAACTCTAAGTTTTAAATGTATCCAGAGCAGGTATTGGTTAGGGTGACAAGACTCTAAGTCCTTGTGTGTTCAGACCCTGGGAAAGTAGAGGACATAGGCAGAAAGAGGGTGATAGGATGGGTGACAGGAGTTTTGGGATTTTGTACAAGAAATGGCACAGATAATGGATCCTGAAGAAGGAAACCTGGAGGGGATCCTTATTTAGTACAGAAGGGGCTGAATCCCTGAATCTCTTCTTCAGCAACAATAAAGAGCAATTGAATTAATGGCCGAAGTTTTAGTCCTCTTCAAAGGTCCTCCCTTTGAGAGTGAGAATCTCTCATTCTGCAATTTATAGCTATTTCTTTCATGGTAGTACTGGGGTGGGGAGAAAAAGGAAATGCCAAGAGAGTGGAGACTGCTGTGAGGCAGAGACCCAGGAAGAAGGAACAGTGGTCCTCCTTCTAGACTATGGGAAATTGAGCCATCCTACTTGGAGGGGCTCACAACCACACCTGTGAAATTGGGAATCAGATGGCACATAGCTATGGACCTTTCTCTGTTCGTCTGTATCATGAGTTTTTAATACATATTGGTGAGGGCTGTAAAACATTCTCTATATTAATTTTCAGAAACCTGGCCTCAATAATAATCTCTATCTATATACATAAAAGCCCAGTGACCAGAATGGTGGAACAACCTGAATGACCAGCAGCCAACCAGCCTGATCCGGGCCCCAATCGGCCCCCAGCACCTTGATTGGGGCCAGGCCGGCCAGCCAACCACCCGTGGCTCCTCCCCATCACCAGCCCGGCCCGATCGGCCCCCATTGGGGCAGGCCGGCTGGACCCCACCTGTGCACAAATTCGTGCACTGGGTCTCTAGTATAATTATATTATGTATAACACACATAGAATCTATATAATAATGTCATAACCTTTGGTTTTTAACTATCTACGAGACCTCTTTTTAAAAATAATAAAAGCTGTTGAACTCTTCCCCAGAGACATACACATTCCACTATGTTTTATACAGAATTTCAGGGCCTCAGGAATCCTCATCCCCCCAGCTTTCTTGACCTTTGGTCTCTGTGCCACCAGTTACAGAGATCTCAGGGCAGCAAGTATCATCATAAAAGCAACCTCTAATTGTGACAATTCTTCCTCTCATGGAGCGAGAACACCCTTTCTTAGGATTCCTCCTCAGCAGTCCTAATTCTCTCCTTCACAGACACAGAGAAATGTGATTTGTTTTCAGCCTAACATCTCAAGTAGTTGAATTGGTATTATTGTTCCACACATGATTCTTCTTCAGACTAAACTCTGTGGTTCCTCCCTCCAACTGTTCCTTTCATGTGGTTTCCACAGCCTAAACCCTCTGGCCATTGGAAACAAGAGGCTTCAAATATGTCACAGCCCATTGGAATGTGGTGCCCACATCTGGGCAGAGTACTCTGTCCTGGCTTCCCCAGCCTGACCCCAGGGGCCACTGCCCTTCCCCTCCCCACTTAGCCTTTCTGTTATCAGTGCAGATGCTGGTCATGGCCCATGGCTAGAAACCTGGCGCAGGATTTGACACACTCCTTTACTTCCATGTTCCAAATATTGGACTCTCCTTCTACCCTGCCAAGGTTTTCCTGTATGCTGACTCAACCAGCCCAAACATCCCCTTTCCCCACTGAATTTTGTGTTATCCACAATTTGTTAAGCATGCATTTATTTACTCCTCTTACTCAGAAACAAAACTAAGGAACAGGATAGTACAAAGACTCATCCCTCACCTTGCTAGCTATGACTTCCAGATTTACATTATTTTATTCATTAGCATTTATGGCACATGCTGTTCAACTAGTTATAAGTCTATTCAATACTATTATTGACACTAACAAGTCAGTACTTCACTGTGTAGTTCAAACAACACAAAGGTTACAATTTTTTAAAAGAGTTTTCTCTTTCTTTTTTAAAAAAATATTTTTATTAACTTCAGAGAGGAAAGGAGAGGGAGAGAGAGATAGAATCATCAATGATGAGAGAGAATCATTGATCTACTGCTTCCTGCACATCCCCCACTGGGAATTGAGACTGCAACCTGGGCATATGCCTTAACCGGGAATCGAACCATGACTTCCTGGTTCATAGGTTGACACTCAACTATTGAGCTAGGCCAGCTGGGCTTTTGTCTTCATTTTTTTGATGCATTTAAGGCATGCATATTATCTACAATGACATAAAGACTTAAAACATCCACTCTTTGCATAGACAGTGGTTTTATTTTTGCCATCATCTTCTATACTTTGTCACCAACAGTTATAATTTTTTTTTTAAATTAGAAATCACATGCTCTTCTGTGGGGATTAGTGGTTATGAGGAGAGAAGGGTAAAGAGATGGGATCTCCTGGTTATTCTGAGAGGCAGCAACCCTCATCCTTTACCCCAAAACACATACACACTGAAAATCATTGGACACAGTGAATTGTTCAGTCCCTTCAAATACTACAATAGTCTAAAAAGTAAAACATATTTATGTATGTTGTGCTAGTAAGACTATACCTTTAATACAATATATATATAGAAACTGCAACAATACCACTTACCTAGTACTAATAATTGATAAAGACTTAAGTGCATTTGTTAGCCAGGAGTCTGTCAAACCTTCAATCTCGGCCCTTAGCTGCAGCCACGCGTCTCTCTTGGCAGGGCCAAGCAGTCCTGCAACACCGAAAGCAAGGCAGGGTCAGGAGATGAACCTTATCCAGGAACACCTCGTTTGGTCTCCTTTCTGTTAGGTTAGATTATTTTTATTCCAGCCGATATCAGAAATTGAGAGAGAGACTGATTTATAGTAATATTATCCTTCATTTCAGAATTGATTATCTATTCATTCATTCCATAAGTATTTATTGAACAACTTCTAGATATCAGGTACTGGGCTGAAAACTGGGATGTAACAGTGCAACAGTGGGCCATGGGTCACAGTTTCTGCCCTCACTGAACCTAGAATCTGGCACAGAAGATGCTAATCACCTGAGGAGCTTTGACCACTCCCCTGCCTGGGTCCCACTCCAAGGCTGTGATGCAAGAGGTCTGGAGGAGAGGTCAGGATCTACCAGCTTCCTGTAAGGGTTACCATACCTCAAATGCTTTGGCTGTCTGAAAATGTTTAGCTTCTTAATAACCACAACCATTACCACTCTGAAACAGTAATGATGGCATTATCACATGTAGCTTATAGAATGTTTCTAATATTTGTACTAAAGCTGTCAGAAATATTTTGTTTTATGACAAGTTAAAAATTGTGTTGAAAATCAGTTACAGGCAATGGTTGAAACTAGGTTGATGTTATGATAAAAAAAAACATGCTTTTTTTTTTTTGCTTAAGTCCTTCCTTTTATGGCAAAACAAGATCATGTAAATCTATTACAAAGAAAAATTCTTATTTTAATTGTATTTCAGAATACTGGGAACACATATATAGTCCTTATCCCAATCTAGAGATGCTAACATGTCACAGCAATGGGGGGATAAGGACACATATGTAATACCTTAATCAATAAAGGAAGAAAAAAAATTAATATGTTGTGTCATGGCTTTATGATGGAACAATATGCAGCCACTAACTATGATATTTACAGGAAGTTGTGATGTTGGCAAAGTGTTTACAACCATGAAAAATAAAGGCAAGATTTCAAATTGTAAAAAAAAGAAAGAAAGAAAGAAATGGACTTTCATGCCATTGTTTAAACTTTTTAAGATATATGATTATTTATTAGTAATCTTGTTAACGTTGAAATAATTTTAATAATACTCTTCAAGAAGGAAATAATTACATACCTGGGTGATAAAAATTCAGATTTTCCAAAAGGATATTTATTTTAAAGTTAAACATATCACCCACAATTGATTTTAAATAGAATACCTATTTACTTGATTTTATGAAGTGTCTTATATAGAGCATTAGAATGAATTAGGAAACCTGAGTTGCCCTCCTAAAATTCCGGGCAAGTCAGTAGCCTGCAAGGGCCTATTGCTCATTTGGAAATGAAGGTTGTCCACATGTAACCATCCTTATGGTGTCTAACATTATTATTTAGGGTCTGTATTTTTTTTTCTTCTTTTATAGTTACTGAGTATCTACTGAGCATCTGTTATGTATCTTAAGGCTAGCAAGGCACTGGGATATAGATGAATGGACACACAGTTCGACCCTCATGATGAGTATAGATGTGTTTAATATGGATAAACATTTTATTTACTATATTGTATTCAATGACATGTATGTGGATGTACATATACATATGTATAGTATGCACAAGTATTTAGTTGTATCATCCCATTTTAATTCTGGCTTATGTTCCTTATTCATCATTCTTTTTTTCATTTTTAAAAAAGAAAAACAAAGCCTGGAGAGAAACCTTTTATGTGACCTCGTGGCTAATCTTAGGATCTTGACCCAAAATTGATCCTAATAGTAGAGATCATCAAGGTTTATGATATCGAGAAGCGCATTCAAGATCTTAGTTTTAAAGTCACAGGTTTTAAAATATATTTTTAAAATTGATCTCAGAAAGGAAGGGAGACTTCTTAAAGTTTTCAAAATGAAAAAAAAACCACTTGTTTATATTTATTTCTGGTAGGATTCCAGCAAGGTAATGCTTCTAGCAACTCTGTTTCCATGACTGGAGCTCTCGTCTTTAAACAGGTCTTCCCTCTGCTTCCATATGTCCCTCTGCCTGGTTTTCACTGGTAGCATCATAGCTGAAGAAGGTAAACTAAATGTCCTGCTGTCTATCTTGATCAAGAGCCTGGGAATAATGAATTTCCAATGCCCTTGACAGAGCTGCACGTTTTATTTTGCTGTCAGGTCTCCACCCCCTTTACCCACTCAGAAACTTAATATTTTGGCTCAATGTAGGTCACATGAGCTCTTGATAACTTATTTCATAGTAGGCCAATCTCTAATATGGAACATGGAACTACAGTTCAAATTCTACCTCTATCTAGAGTGCCTTTATTAGAATTAAAAAGCCACACATACCTCCGACATTGTTCTTGTAGGTGTTGTATAATTCTTTTACTCTTCTGTAACGAAAAGCCAACTTCCTCATCCAGTCAACCCCTCCTCTTACACCTGTTGGCAAACAAAGGTTTGCACTACTTGCAGCTGCATGGAAGCCATCAGTTGCAAAACTGTAGGTACTGCAACACCCAAAATATATTAAAAAGAGATAAAAGAAATAATTACATGTGCAAAACTCCATAGCTGAATTTCTGTAGGAAATAGCGTACTAAAAGCCACGGCTTACCTTAGGTCCTGCCCATTATCATCAGAGGAGACATCATCTATATGAACTTGATCACACTCCTGTTAAAAACATTGGAAGAGTTATTTGTTTTTCAAATGATGCTTTTCACCATACTTAAATGTTTTTTCCATCTTCCCATTTCAATCAGGCTATGGCCAGAAGATGGCAGCATTTGCCCATTCTCTCCTGCTGAGAAATGGCACCATTTCTACTCTCTAAAATCTAAATCCAGAAGAATGCCATAAAAAGGTGTCCGAGAACATATGGCATGTGGGCAACTTAAAAAATAATTTTAGTGTTAATATTATTGATAAGAAACTCTCTTTTGAGTCTTCATAATAATCACTGGTGTTTCCTTTCAGCCATTTCTCCATTTCTGCTGTGCATGCTTAAGTATTGAAGCCAAGCTAAACTTGAAGATACACAAAATTGTTTGGTCTGAGCACCTCGGGTGGTTACTATTATTTGTTGAGCAGAAACAGAGTGGCTCAATGATTAAGGTGCTCTGTGAGATTTCTATGACTTCCTGCATTGTGCTAGGCCTGGGATACCATGAAAGAATTCATGCTGGTGTTATTGTAAAAGGCCTGGTCTTTTAACACAGGAAAAAAAGCTAATAACCATGGAAGGTGACGTTTTCTTTTGCTCAAGTTTTAAAATATTTAAAATAAAAAATACTTTAAAAGTAAAAGGGAAATAATGAAGAATTACCACATCCAATGTGCTACAAACTCAGAGGAAAATAAAGTGTAGGTACGTACACCCAACAATTGACCTGATTTAAATTGTAGTGTGCTCAGAACAAATGGTAACTTTTCTGCATAAGAATTCAGTTCTTCTTTACTGTTCTTTACTAGTCTATCTTCAAATAATCTGCAAAGTTCCAGTGAAATAGTACCTGACCAAAGGGTGAAATTTGGCTAGGATACTAATCTCAGAATAAATATGCTTTAGCCTCTTTGGGCTTCTTTCTCCCTCAAATTGCTTGTCGTACTCACAGATTTTGACTGTATACATAATGCTTACTATTCAAAACAATTTAAAAATTTTAATATTTGAAAATAGGATGCCATAGTAAAAAGAAAAAACTTTCCAGCTATTATTTTTATTCATTATAGGACCTGAAAATATCTGGTAGTGAAATTTTGCTATTTCATCTCTAGCTTTCCACACTGGCTTTTAAAAAATATACAAAACCTGAATGACTAGCCCAATCAATACAATTTTAGTGCATAAGCTGAAAATACATGTGAATTAATTTTAAAGGTTCATAGGATTTACGTAAATTATGGGTTTAGTAAATTTTGAATAAATCTCTACGTATAGTCACAGGTAAGAGAAGGCTCAGTAAAGCTAATCTGACTGGAAGCTCCCAGAGGGGATGTTTGGGTGACTTGGATATACCCCCACTAAAGGCACAATCCGGTACAGAGTAATCACTCAATGATTCTTTGTTGAATAAATGGCAGAAGTCTAGACATATTATCATTATTGACTGAAGTACCACAGTTATTTACTTTTTAAAAAAATATAACTTTATTGATTTCAGGGAAGGGAGAGGGAGAGAGAGATAGAAACATCAATGATGAAAGAGAATCATTGACCCACTGCCTCCTGCGCACCCCCACCTGGTGTTTGAGCCCGCCACCTGGGCATTCCTGACCGGGAATCAATCCCTGACCTCCTGGTTCATAGGTCGATGCTCAACCACTTAGCCACCCTGGCCAGGCAGTTATTTAAATTTTTGAACATAAAGTTATGGTGATATGAAATAATATTCTAGATGGTAAGAATTGTAAGGAGATAGTTATATCAAGAGTGGAGGGGAGGGAGAGTAACGAGCTAAGAACTGAGGCCATGAGAGGCATGGCAGGACAGGCACTTAGAACAGTTCTTCCTCATTTTGACTGAGTATTCTTTGCAAGGAGGACAGCCCAAACTTTAACCAAAAGGGGCATTTTGCTTCCAGAAAAATCTCAGGGAAAAGTACTGCAAGCAATAGTAGTAGCTCTTTGGATTCTAAAAGAAAGAGTGGAAAGATTTAACAAGTTAGCTGTTAGCATGAAAGTTGGAAATAAATTTCTTCCCCCAGAATATGGAGGCAGCAAAGTAATTCTAGATGACAAGGATTACTTCTTATTTAGAGATGGTAACCTTCCTGGTAGGTATGAAGACTGAATTAAAACACCATTGATATGGCATCACGTGAAGCTGCTCATTTCCACCTAAGTTCTAAAATCTCTCAACAGGTAAATAATTTCCATGTCTCTCTTTTACAAAAAACTAATAATATCCAAAAGAAGTTTGGAGGAAATTTTTTAATTACCCTGGCAATTAGATGTTATTTCTATATTTAATATCCTCTTATCCTAATTTTTAGAGAAATTCCTCTGACATTTAAAGTATTAACTCACATGATTAATTTATACATTTTGCCTCAAAACTCATTTTTTTTACTCCTGAGGACATCAGTATATCACAGTTATTGGACCATGAGCTCCATATTTGAAGTTATGTTTGAGATTTTTCCAAATGGAACTTCTCTTTAAATTTATGCCTAGTTAGCTATGCTTGTTGACTCTGGACTCTTGCCCAAGAATTACACTCCAGTGAAAGCAACCTGAATTTCAATCACATACATTTTTAGAAAAATCAAAATAATTGTTCTTCAATTAGTTTTCACTCAGAGGAACTTTGCAGGAATCATCTTGGCCAAAACATGAAATACTAAAAACAATGTAATGCTTTGGTTTTAACAAATTTCAGTATAAGAACTCAAACATTTGGGATAATTCTGGAACTAATCTTAAGTTCTTTAATTTTGTTTTATAAGGTGGCCGCAATGTTGTCGCTGATCTTTATCAGTTGTAATCCACAGCAGTCTTCTCTCACTTTTGTGAGCCAGAACTCCCTGGTGCCTTTTTTCTGGAAGTTATTCTAACTGAAATAACACTGTGTTTAAACAGAACATTCTCTTCTTCGGGGGAGCAGTGTGAACATTTGCCTTCTCTGCAGTTGGGCAGGATGTCTTGAAGTGTCTATTAGGGGGATTTAAATTTGTGTCTTCTAAAGAATTATGTGAAAGCAGCTGCTACTTACTACATATGGTACAGTATCTATTGAAGGATTTCGATCTCAAATTAGATTTTTAAGTTAAGAAAAGAAACCTTGAGAGATTAAATACACAAGAGTGGAGGGAGGGACCATAACAGGCTAATGATAGAGTTCCTCTCTTGAGGAATTCTCCTGTTTGTCAGAAACAAAAATAGTGTCATATCAGTTATGAAGCCCATAACAATCTTTGCTTAGAAGAGGTTTACTGAAATAAAAAATTGGGTGAAAGTAAAGTTGACTTTCAAAATCAGATGTGGAAGGATAGTGGAAATGTATGTAATGCTACTGAATGATCTTGAAACCCATTGTTTAGATTTTGTTAGTTTTAGTATTTACCTCACTTAAGCTTTTGAGTTTCCTTGGGCACTTCGTCTGAATGTGCATGTGTGCATGTGGCATGTGTGTGATGTGTATGTGTTGTGTGTGTGTGTGTATGTGTGTGTGCATGTATGAGAATTCAATCAATTCATATGCAAGAGGCCCAATCACTTTTTTTTTTTTACAAAAATTAAGTACAGGATTGTTGGATACTAAGTTTTAGTGTTTGAGTCAAATAAAATTTTTATCACATTCTAAACACAACTAACAAGCTGTAATCATAGGAAGAAAGTCAATACCAATGTTTTCTCAGTTAATTTTTCTACCAGAGATTTTTCCAGGCATTTAAAAAATATTTTATATAGTACCTAATCCAAAATAAAAAATGCTTAAAGCATCATAGCTGAGTACATGTTTGTGATATGCAAATATTCATGTCAAAAGCATTTGCAAATTCATTATATGCTACTTTCACTTTCTTTTGTGTTCTATTAAAAGTTGGGTGGCAAATTTATTCCATCTGTCTTCTAATGTGCCAGTAAAATAGCTAATGGGTCATTTAGTCCATTTATTTCTAGTAAAAAATAATTAATAAAATAAAATAAAAACTATGAAATTTGGATAAAACCACACAAAACTTCCTTTTTTTGTTTTTTTTTATAGGGTTTGAAGGACTAATAATCTTAAAATTCTCTTTATAATGAGGCCAATCTATTTCAACCAACAGAAAAACCAACCTAAGAAGTTATAAGTCTATATAAAAATTCAAGTTCCAAAAAGGTTAAAATGTGTTTCCTATTATCATGTATATATAAAATCATTCTGTACACTAGACAGGGATCAGTTGTAAGATTACTTTAAATCAGGTTTTAGAGAGGTGATTATTATTTCTTATAATAAAACTGAAACACATGCCTAGAAATACTAATCATTCCTATGTCCATTAAAGAAAAAAAAGAAACTGCTTTAAACAGACAATAATTTTATTATCCAGTAAAAACAGCGACTCACTGAAGAGAAAACAACAAAATGCTATTACACAGGTTTCCAGAACATACATTTATCAGATATACTGAACAACACAATTTTTGCTCTTGTGTCTCAACTGTGAGTAAAACTGGATTTTAAGACCTTGCAATTGAAAAACATCTCATTGAAGACACTGACTAAGCTGGCTTTTCTTTCTCACACGCCTCTGTGAATTCAGCAGGGTGCGGGGGGCAGAAGTATGTGCTCTGGAGTCAGACTCCAGAGTTTCAAATCCCAGTTCTACCACTTAGCTAGCAGTTACCTTAGACATAATTTTTATGCTTGTAACCTTACAATTCCACCCCTAGAAAAATAATGTGATAAACATATTAATTTCTAGAGGTTGTTAATTATTTAATGGAAAGTCCAATAAAATAATGTTGAACACAAAGTGGGAAGGATTCAGTAATTAAAAATATCCCTCTTTATTCATAATATAGACAAACATTTTTACTCTACTGTGAAACCATGAGATAAAAAACTAAATTTAAATATGACATTTTAAAAAAAGAAAGAGAAATCTCTTCCAGCATTGTGGTGCTTGACTGGGAAGTATTCCTGGTCCAGTGCCCAAGCTACTCAGTTATTTCAAATTTTATTGTCTGAATGCCTAATGACTCAGATCATTAACACCCAGATTATATACCTATTACAGGACCTATTCAGCTATTCTGAGGCTATTTTTTTCTTGGGTCCTTTCATTTTGTTGTTGTTTCACTTTCTCTTCATTTGAGGTTGGAAATGGAAAAATAAATTAGAAAAAAAACAGTGAAATCAAATAAGTGGAATCAAACCAGTCAGATGTGTGATATAATCAGCTCTAGCAGTGTTTCATCTGAAAGGGGAGGAAATGAGGAATGATGATGTTGTCTAAAATTAGGTGTCAGGTTATCTACAAAATGTAATGATCCATGTTAGCACCATGAATAGCATCTCAGACTACTGTCCAGTGATTAACCTAAAGAGTATCCTGGTTTATATCCCGAAAAAGCTAATGCTAATTCCAAAAGTGCACATGGATTGTATTTGAGACACTAGTAGGATGAGGAGCAGTGTATTTGAGCGCACACAGATCTGAGATATTTCTGTTCTAATTATGTGCCAGTATATATGTACAATTCGTTAACTAAATTTAGCTTTTGTTTGCATTTATATATACAATTTTCCCCTTGACAGGAACTTTACTGTTCTCTTATGCTAAATTTCTATCTTTAAGTTTTCTTGAGGTTATCTGGTGTTATAGAAACCATCCAAACATTTTAATAGTTGGATACAACTATTCTTACCTTTTAAAATTCTTACCTCTAAATCATTAAAAAATAAATGTGTATCAGCAAGATTAAAAATCATTTCCTCCATTCGGAGTCCAAGGGTTACAGCCATGGGAGGATCCTGAGAAGAAAATACACGCACAATGAGGTAAAATTTCAGTAACTACAGTTATTATTAAACATATTTTAAGTGCATATTGTTGTGGGGATGGGATGACAACAGATTTTTACTTAAGATTCAAAAGATTTCCCAACTGCCTAAAAAGGTACCTTTCCAAAGGGGTCATTTAAGACATAATAAGTATACAGATGCATCTGTGAATTTATAGGAATTTATGTGCACATAAAAATGATTTAGGGAAAGTTTTGACATAAATCTATGTTTATGAGAGGATCCAGTCTACATATACTCCATGGACAGTCCTTTGGAGAAATGTATTTGGATGGAATACTGAACAGTGCTACAGACTTGTTAAAAATAAGAAAGGATTTCTTTTAAAGAATGATACATAAGAATTAGGGTTGGGAGAAAAGTAGGTCTACTGGATGTTTGCAGGACTTGAGCAGACAATGTCACCTGGAGGCAGTATACGAAGAGCTGGTGGAGCACGGTGAAACCACCACTTAATTATGAACTTCATTTTGATCAACAGGCAATATTTATCTGCAATGAGTGTATAGATTGGTCTAACCTGCATTTGACTAGGAAAAAAGAGAGAAGGGTTGAGGATAACGAAAGGAATTATTAATTCAGTAGATGTAATCTGTGTAGAAAATATATACACTTAGAAGTTTAATGAAAGTATGGGGATTAGTAAGGAGTCAAGTGACTTATTTTTTGTTTATAGAAACCAAGATGTTACACAGCAGCAAGGGGTTGAGAAACAAGACCAGAGTTTGTACTTTACCATGACCAACTATAGTTGAAAGCCTGGCATCAAGAAGCGAAAGACTAAAAAGTAAGGAGGGTGTAGGGCAGGGGTGGGCAAACTTTTTGACTCGAGGGCCACAATGGGTTCTTAAACTGGACCGGAGGGCCGGAACAAAAGCATGGATGGAGTGTTTGTGTGAACTAATATAAATTCAAAGTAAACATCATTACATAAAAGGGTATGGTCTTTTTTTTTTTTAGTTTTATTCATTTCAAATGGGCCGGATCCGGCCCGCGGCCGTAGTTTGCCCACAGCTGGTGTAGGGATTGGGCTAGGGAAAAATTCATGTTCAAACATGGTGTTTAAATGATCAAAGTTGGAATGATCTCTAAAGAGAACTACAATAGTGATGACCTTGAAGATACAGAAAATAGAAAACCTAGATGGAACAAACCCTCAGAATTTGAGATCAGAATGAGCCTGTTAGTAGGGAGAATATGGTTTTGAATAAAGCTGACAAATCTAGAAGAATACTATTTGTTTGGCTGAGAAGTCTTTTTGGAAGACCTCAGAGGATGATTTAGGTTGAGTGGCTGGGCCAGGAGCCAGATTGTAAGAATTTAAGGAGAGAGTACCAAACTTGTGTTTTCAATGGTCTAATAAATGACATTTCAAGAAATGTATTTTAACTTGGGAAAATGTAATGCTAACTTGATATTAATTTATGATAAAATACACAATCCAGGTCGGGCCCTGTAGTATTCATATACACCCCTGAACTTATCTCACTTAGCAAATAGAAGCCCCTCCTCATTCTACACCTATGCTGCAACAACCAATTTTCTTCCTATTCTTCCTTCCATAATGCTTTGAGGGGGACGCCCTAGAGCAGTGATGGCGAACCTTTTGAGCTCGGCGTGTCAGCATTTTGAAAAACCCTAACTTAACTCTGGTGCCGTGTCACATATAGAAATTTTTTGATATTTGCAACCATAGTAAAACAAAGACTTATATTTTTGATATTTATTTTAGATATTTAAATGTCATTTAACAAAGAAAAATCAACCAAAAAAATGAGTTCGCGTGTCACCTCTGACACACGTGTCATAGGTTCACCATCACTGCCCTAGAGTGTAAATATATTTGAAGTGAGTGTCACCTCATATTTTGTAGTGATTAAGAGCTAGAGAATAGGAATTGAGTGCTAAGCTAAGAAAAGAAAAAGGTCACTGAGGTGTGTTGAGTAAAGCCAAGACTTGATATTGGAGAAGAGAAAGAAAGGACAGTAAGAATATGTTAAATGTCAGCATAATTTTCTAATTGTCTACATCTCTTCCTCAGAGACTTCTGTGGAATTCATAGCTCAAGATTCTCTCTTCTCGAAAACAGATATTCATTGTTCACATCCCTGATGGTATCCTGGTCTTGTGTCCTTCAGTAAGGAGGACTCTACTTTGACTCTACTGCTAGGTTCATCTGTCTTCCAGTGTCAGGATCATTTGGAGAAACATATCCAAAGATCAAATCAATTCCATTTTATACAAAAAAAGTGATTCAAGAACAAGAACAAAAATATGAAGCTTTTTTATTTATTTTATTTTATTTTTATTTTTTTGGTCTCAAAGTCTTTCAGAATTCAGAGGGATCTCTCTTGCTCTGCTTCCTTCAAGTATAGAATTCTTATTTTCCTTATTTCTTTATGTTGTTCATGTTTTTGTTGTTGTCTTTGAAAGAAAATCTTTAAAGGTTGAATAAAAGTTGTAAAAATATACATTTGTCTTTTTTGTGTAAAAAAATTCCTTTCTCTTTGGGTTGGGGGTTACATAGGTTGAAAACATAGAAAACTTGTAAATATTCTGTATAGTCATGGGACCATGAACAATATGTCTACAAAAATATCAGGAAAAATCAAATGTAATTATAGCATGAAAACATATAATTCCATTAGTGACGCTCTGTGCTTTTGAGGAATGTTCACTGATGCAGGACAATAAAACTGAGCTCCACACTCCTCCGTATGTTTCTGATGATTACTGCCCTAAAGATATATATTTCACATGGGGGTTCAGAATGTCTTCTTTAAAAGGTTTTCCTTCTCAAGATTGGGTTGCTTAAATTCTTATCCTACAATGTGCCAGTTTTTCTTCTTTAAGTTTTAAATAAAACTATTGACTTTCTTATGTTTAGACCTCACATTCTTTGCATTGACAAATCAGATTTATGGGGATGGAAGAAAATATACTGTTCCTCTTTGATTGTTACTTTCATCAATTCCACGCTTCTGAAGTACATAACTCTCTATGCTACCCCAGCAGTAATAGGAAAGTCCACGAAAAATGCATTTTGTGCATCTGATAAGCACGCAAACAAATATAACTTTTAGAAAACCAACAATAATTCTCTAACAAGTAAGCACAGCGCACGGTATGATGAAAACTGTGTTTGAGCATTCCCACTCCAGTGGAAATGCAACTCCATGGCACTTGAAGGGGTTGCTCATTTGTTTATCAAGCTATGGCAATCCCACAACACACACTCTGGGAGAGCTAGGACTTCGTAAGCACTTTGACAAAATACAATTTGTGAATGAGGAAAGTTTAGGTTTGCGGTTTGCCATAGTGTAAACTAGCTGTATTTTACCAAGGTTTCCAAAGAGCAAGGCTTATCTAAAGGGAGGAGTTTCATCTGCCATGCCAAAGGCTTGGCACAGACAGGCTAAGGATAGTTATGCCACAAGCCAAGGAAAACCATGCCTGTAAGAGGTGATAATCTAGTTTCTAAGAGAATGTCTAGTGAGGGCTGACTTTCAAATATCTAATTTTACTTTCTTTTCCCCCATCTTACTAAGTCCTTGGGAGAGTTGATTCTAAGCAAGTGGATTACAGTATCACATTTTTCTAGCTAAAGGACCCACAGATGTAAGAATCCAAGAAAGATGAGCAGGGATTTGGTGGGGGTCGCCTTAGAAAGGTCTCTGAAGTGTTGGGCTTGCTGGGCCTTGCCAGACTACTGTGAAAGAGCTGCCAGCGCCTGCAATTCCATGGTTTTATCAGGCATTTGAGAGTTAAATATACTTCTGGATTGAACCCAAGTTTTATACAGAGATGTTTGCTCATTTTCATTAGATGTTTATAGAAATATGGGCACCTTATGAATCAAGAGTTACTGCCTTTTTTCAGTTTACCTGTAGGGAGTGTTGAGTTTAGGGTCTGAAATTAAGTGATAGTGAAAACTTGGACAGAGGAAAAAAGTGGGATAATAAAGGCACCGACAGGAAGCTCTGATGCATATTTTACATATATAACAGTTCTAATAGGTTCAAAGTGTCTACAGCAGAGTTTAATATGGGGCAAACTGAACTTCTGCCAACTTACTCTGTGCTCTGCTCTATTAAAATACTGAAACTACTCCCAAGACATTTGTTTTGAGAGAGAGAGAGAGAGAGAGAGAGAGAGAGAGAGAGAGAGAGAATTGAAAATAATGAATAACTTTTGCCCCTTAAATGTGTGATTCTAAACCGGATGTTACCATCATATGACTAAGTCAGGTTCAAGTACAGCAGCTCTCTATATCTAAATACTATGTTAACACAGAGCAAAATTTGGAGCCAGACTGTCTGTCTATGGGCCTCTGCCCTGTACTGGGCCATCAGCTGGAATACTTCCCTAGGGACACAATATAAAAATATCTCAGGAGAAAAAGCAATTATGCGTTGTTGTTGTTTTAATAGGGGACTTTTCTTTTTAAAGAACTGAAGTCCTTGCAACAGTTACTCATTTGGGACCTGAAGCACATGTAGACTAGTGACAAAGGCAAAGATGTGTTAGTTCATTACAGAAGAAGGAAGACAAGCTTGCTCACTAACTAAAGTGGAAGTAGTGAGTGGGTCTGTTAGGAAATAAACTCTTTTAATCAGTGACAAGAGATGAAGTTCAGTCATGAATCAGAAGGAAAATTTAACCATTGAGATGTTTGTCTACGATGGATAGGCAGTGGACTGGAGTTCTCAGGGGGAACTGGGGAATGGTTTCAGGAACACTCATTTATTTAGCACATATTTACTGAGTGTCTACTATGTGGTAAGAATATTCAAATTCTTAACAGAAACAAATAGACAAAGTCCCTGTCCTTAAGGGGTTCATATTGTCACTGGATGACCTACCAGATATATAAACAAAGAAAAAAACCCAAAGAAATATATAATATTTCAGCTGGTGAAAAAAACACACAAAAAAACCACAGTTAGCAG